GTGCTGCCTCGACCAAATCATATTTATCCATTCATCATTCATCACCTTTTGACCATGGTAAATAATGATGCTGGATTTGAGCACAGGCACACAGATAACCTGCTTAATTATTTCCATTTTTCAGATAAGGAATCTAAAGGCGGTTGTCAACTCATAGTGACTCAGGTCATGGAGAGCCGAGTTCAGTCCAGGTAGAAGGTGCCAGAGGAACCCCTGCTGGGGAGCTGTTTTGCTTGTCATTTAAATGTTCAGCTGGAGTGCACAGGTAGATATATACTTGTTGGTGAGTAGCCAGGAGCCTCTAGCCAAGATAGCTGGCTACTACCTTAGAACTCTGGGAGTGCCGCTATAACTCAGCGGGCCAAGAGGTGACATCTAACCCTTAAGATCCTATATCTAACCACAGCATCTATTCTCTGACCAATGCCATGCTATCTTTGATATTCTGATTAGCACCTTCGTGGAAGCAGGGTGATCTTCTGGGGGAATGAGCTAAATGACTAGAGAGTCTTGAAGTCCTAGGAATTAGAAAGAAACAAGCCAAGATTATTGCCAAAATAGAAGCTTCAATTTAAGGACTAGAAGAAGAGGTCAAAAACCAGAGCAAGAGAAAGGCCATTTGGGCAGTCCCACGTGGAAGTTTCAAGTGCCTTGCGGGGTTGGGGAGGGGTGAATGAGAATGGAGGGTGTTTCAGGGACCATTAACTCGCCTGAAGTTGAAAAAGGTGGCCCCAGACCAGGCAGGGAGAGAGCTATTCACCATGGATTTTGCCATCTGAGGAACAGTCCTCAGTCTTCTCACCCAAAGGAAACAAGAAAAGCCAGGACAGACCGACTGGGGCTACCTCAGATGTCTAAGCCTCACCGAGAAGAGGCAGTGTGCAAAGTCAGAGCCCCAAATGCTATCTCCTGAGGAGAAATCCCCTCCCCGATGGTTATCTTTCTTAGAGGTAGGAGCAGGCAGTAATGCAGGGCAAACCCAAGTACAGAGCCTGATTGTGGTAAATGTGGGGGCTGGGGCTGAAGGAGGGGAGTCCCCCGGGACCTCACAGAACTCTGTGACCACACTGAGCCCATCACTGGTCGCTGCCTTGTCCTTTTTGCCCATCTCACTGGTGACCATCAGGGCAAAGTCCCTACTTCCTCCTTTGTCCCCTCTGCTGAGGCTGAAGTCTCACACCGAAGACACAGTTTGCTCTCAGGCCCTGATTCTGTTAGTCCTGGAAAGTTCTCTCTATCTGCCCACATTCGTTTCTCCTGCTTCTGGTAACAACTGCTGGACTGCTTTTTGGGGAAACATACCACATACATCCTCCCTTCCTCCCCCCCTCTCCCTTCCTCCCTCCCTCTGTTGTATCACATAGAATGTATTACTGTAACCATTTTTTAGGCGTGCAATTTAGTAGGCAGTACATTTCACTGTTCCCCTACTCCAGGCCTTCTTAAGAAGCCTAACTTTTTGTTTCTTTGGGTTTTGTTTCTTTTTGGCTGATCCCAGCTCCTCACTGTGGGGACTATGAAGGAAGCTGTCCCTGTTACAACCTCTTGTGCCCCTACCCAGAGTGAGTGATTGGCTTATATCAGCACAGTATCAATCCAGGGACAGTAACACCACTCAGGGGAAGGACCTTTTCTCCTGCTTCATGTGTCACACTGGTGGGGATTAACCTGGAAGCTGAGGTAGCCTTTGTCTCTGTCTCCAGAACATACCCAGTAAGAGTAAAGCAAAGCCAGAAGAGGACAGATGGATTCTTGGTGGCATTTTTTTTTTTTTGAGACCTGGATCTAGACATGCCTGAAGTAACTGCCTTTAGACTTTTCAGGTCTATGACAGAACAAATCCTATTGTTGGGATGAAACCATTTTCAGGTTCACCTGCAGTTTAAATAATCCTATCTAGGGCTGATCCAGTATGCACCTCACTGGGACAGTCTTGGCCTAGCATGTGCAAATACCCGGGTTCGATCCCCCAGGCTACCAAAAGTAGAAACAAATAAATAAATGATAAAACCATCTTATCTCTAGATCCTTGAGATCAGGTTTGCAGTTGCACACAGCATTATGAGATAGAAGCTCCATGGTCCTCTTTCATTTCTTCTCTGCCTCTCCAAGCTTTCTGAACCACCGGCTAACCTATCAGACCGCACACATCACCTTTGTTCAGCTATGAGGCTGGAAAGAACGGTTTGGAGGGAAGGGAATAATAAATCCCACCAAGGGCAGAGACACATCCATAGGTTAATGAAGTCGTCACTGAAATGACACCTGAGCAGAAGTCAGTGGCACTTGGGACTGTGTTACAGACAAGCAGGTCCTGGGGTAGATGATCAAAGCTCTCCTGACATAGGTGGTTATCACACCTATCACATGGATGTAGCATGGCCCAAGCTACCAGTTATCCACAGAAGAGTCTGGCCTCCACTCCGTGGTGGGACATGCACCACCAGAAAGCAGCTTGGGGTCTGCACTGGGTCTGTTTTCAAGCCTGGAAGACCAGGGACAGACGGGCCAGTGCCGGTGTTCCTCAGGACAAAGACAAAGAGAGCCAGCACTGTTTGGGATGCCCCTGTAGCCCTTGGATAGTGGCTTAAGAACTATAGGGTAGTGAGTTCCAGGACAGCCAGATGGAATCCGTGTGAGCGTCCACAGAGCTCCCTCGAGGGACCCATCAAACGAAGGCGCCTTCTCTGTGAGGATGTTTGGTTTTGTTTTTAACCTAAAGGCAGGTGTTGAGGTTTTTTTCTTGGGCCCATGAATCTATACCCCTCTAGGAACTCTGAGGCTTACATATACAGCCTATGGGGGATCCCCAGGCTAGAAAGGCCCCAAACACCTGCAGCCATGGAAACTTTGTGCCTCACAGTCAGTAGCAAAAAGGGACCCTGGAAAGCCTGTTCTAATTGTCACAGTGGGGCACGTGTTCATCTCCGTAGAGCAAGCAACGTGGAGCCAGCTCTGAGGGTAATGCTTCTTCCTGCCCGGCTCCTGGGTGTTTATGGGAACATGGGTGTGTGTCTGTGCCTGGAGAGGCCAAGAGGACTACAGCAGAATACTGGACAGGAGGCAGGAGGTAGGAGCCTGGCTCTAGCCTCCCTCTGACTCTCCATAGCGATAGATCAGAGTAACATCCCAGTAGATTTTACCTGGACAAAGACTCTAGGAGAAGGGCTTTCACTATCTGTTGGCTGAACACACAGCTGAGCCTGGAAAATCCGGATAAATCCTTACGACTGCCTGTGTAATGGTGGGTCTCAATTTATGTCGATGTGCCGGCAAGAAAGACAACGCAAACACCCACATGGTGAGTGTTCGCAGCCTCGTCTCTTTATGTCCGGTCACTCAGACCAAGCAAGGAGCATTAACCATCGTGCAGATGAGAAAACGGAGGCTCAGAAGGTTCGGTGACCTCTTCACAACCACAGCTGGTTCTAAAGCCCTAGGTGCTTCTCCCACATCACACCCCCTTTCTCAGCTCTAAGAGTTCCTGAGGGAGGGACTTCCACCTACACCAGAGGTGTAGCCCCCAAATCCAGCCCAGAGGCGGGGTATCTGGATACCGCAAACCCAACTCACAATGAGCCTGAGTGTGCGCGCGCGGGGGGAGGGGGGCTGCCTGACCTCCCACCACCCAATCCTTTTCCAGCTCGCCCACCTCGAGAAGCCTGGCGGTGCCCGGCGGTGAGCCCACGCACGAAATACTCACGGCTCCCGCAGGCCCAGGCGGCTCCGTGGGGCGCATCGTCTCCAGGGCCCGGGCCTCCTGGACAGCAGTTGCCGCTACCGCGCTGCCTACTCGCTCTGGGGCATCAGATTATTTTAGCACTTGCGGAAGGAACCGACGGAAACTGAAGTCACATGGAGAGCTCGCTGCTCAGCGACTCAGCACTCAGCAAGCGTCTTAGAAGGAACTGCGACCGCGGGGGGCGCGGGGGATGGGACAAGGACGCGGGCCCCTGGAGGACCTTCAGAGTTGTCACCACGCAGGTGCAGTCTGCGAAGACATTAGGGTCGCTAAGCTCCCTCCCTGGTGGGTGAGCCTGGGAGCTGGGAGTCCTGGCTTGTAGTCGGTTATCCCAGGAAGTCTCCACGCTTCTGTCCAAGGATCAAGTTGGGACAGAATTTGGTGAAGGGCAACACAAGTTTATTTAATTAAAAAAGGGGACCAGTTTACCATTTAGAAGGGTTGTCCACCCATTAATCTTTGTTTTTTATCTACTCTGCTGGTCTTTATCAATCATTTTTATGGGCACCATGCTTTTTTTTTAAAAAAAAATTAAGTAAATAAATAAATGGAAAAGAAAGTTGGGCATGGTGTTCCACACCATGAAGAGGCTGAGGCAGGAGGATCAGAGTGTAAGATTGTCCTGTCATAAATAGCAAGTTTGGGGCTTCCCTAGGGTTCATGAGACCCTGCCACAAACAAATAAGCAAGAAGAACTGATGAAGACAAGGAAAGGAAAAATTTGGTTTGCTTCTAATGGAGCTTGCATTGTAGACTGTCAGTACCATCAATTTCTTGGCTCTATTGAGTATGGGTAGGTTGTTTGATTTGCTGTGTAAAATGTTCTCTGCCAATGGTGGTCGTGTGCACAGGGCTTGCATAGATCCAAACCAAATCTGGGCGGAGATGGAGAAGCAGATATGAGCTTCCATCCCCAACCATTTACAAAGGAAAAATTAGGATCTCCAATGGAGTCTCAGTGGGTATACAAACCACACTTAAGGGCGGGTCCCAGCCCTAGTAGTAGATGGCCAACACAAAGTCCAGTCTTGTTAGTCAGACTCTAGCCTATCTGGTTTAAGAATCACTGGTGTCTGAGTCCTAATTTTCTCATCCACTTCTCTCTCTCTCTCTCTCTCTCTCTCTCTCTCTCTCTCTCTCTCTGTTTTTTTTCGAGACATGATTTTTTTGTAATATAGCCTTGGCTGTCCTGAAACTTGCTTTGTAGATCAGGCTGGCCTCGAACTCACAGAGATCCACCTACCTCTGCCTCCCAAGTGCTGGGATTAAAGCTGTGCGCCACCACCGCTGAGCTACTTTTCTTTCTCTTAAGACAGGGTCTCATTTTAGTCTCGGTTGCCTGGAAGTTCCTCAGACACACTCCATTCTCCCTGTGCTGAGACCTCCTTGGCGGGAATGATCTCCTCCCTGCCTTTCCCAGACCTTTCCATCCTCAAGGCATGGGTGAGGCTCCCCGTACCCCAAGCTTTTCCCACCTCAGAGGCCTCCTGCTCTGCACACATTGTGTACCCTGACTTCATGACAGGGTGTACGCTGTGATTTTTCTTTTTGAAATTATATCTTGCTTCTCAATTACACTGTCACCTTTTAAGGACAGCAACCATGTGCTATTCAGAAAAACCATACTGCCCAGTGTGCATAAAGATGCTCAGTAAACATTTATTCAGAGAAGAAAGGGGGAAGGAAAGAAGAGAGAGAATGGGCACTAAATGAATCTATCTTTTCTGTGATTCCCTGGTCACTGACGTCTGAGAGTTGTGTTAGAGTCTTGGTTTTTAGATGATTGTGGCTCCCATGGGCTCTGACTTTTAGATACTTGGTGTTGTGCTGAAGTTTCCTTTGAGACTGAAATATTAAGGAAGCTCCATAAACCAGAAAGTAAACAACTCAAAACAACTTCAGGAAGTCCCTAAAACTGACCAGATTCACATTCATTAGGCCCCTCCCTTCCAGAGTAAGTGATAAAGACTCCTAAGGGTCACTCTCAGAGAAGCCAAGCTGCAAAGAAGACTCTCAGATTAGACCCACTGCCTGAGAGAAGCAGAAACCAGCTGAGCTTCCCGGAAGAACTTTAGATCAACTGAGGCACCTGGAAAGGACACTCTCCAACCTGTTGAACTGCCTGCAGGCTGTGCAGTGTGCTCCAGGCTCCCAGCTTTTGTGAGCTGCTATCTGTTCTGAGGCGGTCTTTGGTCATGCAGCTGTCTTTGAGTCATTTCTGTTCCTGTAAGTAACCCCTCACCTGTATTCCTGTAAGCAATGACACCTATAGGTTCATATATTTGAGTGCTTAATCACCAGGATGTGGAACTAACTGAGAAGGATTAAAAGGGTTAGGAGTCGTGGCCTTGTTGGAGTAGGTGTGGTCTTATTTATTGGGGGCGGGCTTTGAGGTTTCAAAAACCTACAGCAGGCTAAGTCAGACCCAGGGTCTCTCTGCCTGCCAAGCCTACCTTCAGATCAGGATGAGGCTCTCACCTGCCTCTCCAGCTTACCAGGGTTCCTGTTGTGATGATAATAGATCACCCTCTAAAATTATAAGCAATCCCCCAATTAAATGCTTTCTTTTCTAAAAGTTTCCTTGGTCTTAGGTCTTAGTGTCTTTTTCACAGCAATCGAACAGCAACTAAGACGTAACCTGAGCACACCTCATGGCTCACCAACTGGGGCTTTGATGGTATCCACACTCCGGTTTGTCGTGGGCTCCCTTTCTGGGGTGAGTAGATGTGTGTGTTACATCTTCCCAGGAAGAGTATTGCATAATACTTGATCCCCAGTCGGTGGTTGTGTGTGAAGGTTTAGGAGGCATGGCTTTGCTGGAGTAAGTGTGTTACTAGACGCAGACTTTGAGGCTTCCACCATCTCAAGCCATCCTCTGAGGTGTTTCTGCCATCATGGCTCTGCTCTGCCATCATAGACTCTAACCCTCTGAAACCATACCCCCGATTAAATGCCTTGGCCATGGTGTTTCCTCACAGTAGTAGAAAAATAACAAAACAAGTACCCTTTCTGTTTCTTTCTTTTTGTTTTGTTTCTGTTTCTGGTTTTTGTTTTTTTGTTTGTTTTGTTTTATTTTTTGTTTGTTTTGTTTTGTGTTTGTTTTTCCAGACAGTGTTTCTCTCTGTGTAGCCCTGGCTATCCTGAAACTCACTCTATAGTAGTCCAGGCTGACCTCAAACTCAGAGATCTGCCTATCTTTGCCTCCATAGTGTTGTGATTAAAGGCGTGTGCCACCATTGCCCAAATTTTTTCCTTTATGTATTTATTTATTTTTTTTAAAAAATTCTATCTTGAAATTCACTCTGTAGACCAGGCTGGCCTCAAACTCAATAAGATCCACCTGCCTCTGTCTCTCAAATGCTGGGATTAAAAGTGTATGCCACCTTTAATCTATTTCTATTTCTTTTTTTTAAAAAAGAAGATTTATTATTTTATATATATAGTATTCTGCCAGCTTGTATGATTACATGCCAGAAGAGGGCACTAAATTTCATTATAGATGGTTGTGAATCACCATGTGGTTGCTGGGAATTGAACTCAAGACCTTTGGAGGAGCAGCCAGTGCTCTTAACCTCTGAGGCATCTCTCTAGCTCCTATTTCTATTTCTTAAATTAAGCTTCCTAATAGCTTGTCACTCGTGGGCCACTCAGGGCCAGGAGATGCCTACAGTGGAGACTGAGAGGCTACAGACATCTAGATAGGAGTAAGTGGGACAAAGCGGGCCAGCTTCCTCCTCCTGCAGAGGGGTCCGTGGGAAAGAGGAGTCAGCATGTACACCCAGCCATGGAGTGGCAAGAACTAGGCCTGGAAGGTCACCTTGGGCCCAGAGATTGTCCGTTTGCTTTACCTCTGGTATTTCCACCTGCCTTGGGTTCTCATCCCCTCATCACAGACAGGGCGACCTTCCTATCCTGGCCTTTCGGCTTGGCATCTGGCCTGGCCATGACATGCCTGGGGCATGCTCTACTTCTCTGCCCCCCCCCCCCACATGACAGGGAGGGGATTTCCTTTGAGGCCTTAACTGGGAATTGTCCTTCTGCCCCACATCAGCTGGTTGCTGCAGGAGACTCTTCGCTAGTTTCATTTCCCTCATTAGGAATGAAGTTTTTTTAAGAACCAAAAATCCAAACCACTGCCCACATTGGTACTTCATGGTACCAACCCTGGGAAAGCTGGAGGTTAGCGTAAAGACCCCTGAGCTTTAGAGGGTGAGGGCCACCAGTTACTACTGGGTCCTTCCCAGAATGTTGCTCCTCTTCAGCCACCTGGAGGATGAGGTTGGGCTCATCTCCTCGGCCACTAACTGCAGCATGCCACTTCTTCCTGTTTAAGGACATGCTGACAATATCAACAAATAACCAGACATCGAATGTTGTACAACGATAACAAGATGTGCTTGGAAGTCCCCTGTGAAGGCCAGAGCTTGGTGGGAAAGAGGGCAGCAAGGTGGGGCCTCACAGCTGACCACCATGATGGACAGGAATTGAGTGCTGGGGGCTTTGAGGGAGAAAGAAAGCATAACTGTGGAAGACTGCAAACTAGCCCTTCTGGAATTTGGGTTAGACTGACAAGATTAAGAAAGCTTCAAATAAGGCCAAGGCCAAAAGGAGCAAAATATGGGAAAGAAGAGGCCTCTCTGTGTCTGTTCAGTGCTGGATTGGAATCGTCGTCGTCTGCTAAGGTTCCACACATCCCTGGAGACCTTGAGCTCTGAAACGCTGGAGCTATGATTGGGTCGTGTTTATGTGCTTCCTTAGCCTAAGCACCTTGTAGGGCTGTGCAAATGTTTCCTAGCCAAATGAGAGTTCCTGTCATTTCCTCGGCAGTGTTCGGAGAGTTGAGGACTTGGGAAGTCATCCATTGGTAACTCAAGAGCACTTTTCCGTTTTAAAATATTTTGTACTTTTGTTTATTTTATGTGTATGAGTGTTTTGCCTACATGTAGCCCTGGCTGTCCTGGAACTCACTCTGCAGACCAGGCTGGACTCGAACTCACAGAGATCCACCTGTTTCTGCTTTCCAAGTGCTAGAATTAAAGGCATGTGCCACCACCGCCCAGCTAAAATAAACATTTTTAAAGAATTCTGCCTTGCGGTTTTCACCTTTTTTTCTTCCTAGGTTTAGAATGTTCTCGGGCCCCTGTGAGCTGTGAAATAATCTTTGTACACTATAAATATGTATATTTCTCATTGGTTAAGAGATGACTGGCCTATAGCTTGGCAGGAAGAGATTGGGTTGGAGAGCCACACTAGGAGGACTCTGGGAAGAAGAAGGGTAGAGTCTCAGGAGTCACCAGCCAGATGCAGAGGAAGCAGGACATGTGTAAAATGAGGTAACGAGCAATGAGCCTCCAGGAAGCAAGTGAAGGAATAGAAATGGGTTAGTTTACAATGTAATGTCTAGTTAGTAACAAGCCTAAGCATTTATAATTAATAATAAGTCTCTGTATGGCTATTTGGGATCTGGCTGGAGGGACAGAAAAGTCAGCCTACACCTGTGACCATACACCTGAACAGCTCACATCTTAAATGCCTCTTGGGTGTCATATCTCCATAGAGGGAATCTCTGATCACACCCCTTAAATACCCCAACCCTCTGTCACTGTCTTTTCCCCAACCTTGCCTTCCTTTCCTTCACCATATCTTTCCTTACGTCACTGCACAATACTTTATTATCTATATTTGCTTATTCATTATATTTTGCTAACTAATTTCTCTCAGTCACCTACTAGATGCTGTGCCGCTAAGGAAAACAGCACCTGTAAGCCGACTGCTCTACCCCAAGGCTGACGACAGAGCCTGGCACATGCCAGGGGCTCGTGAGTTCCTGTGGGCGGGTAATCATCCACGGAAGTTTCCAGAGAGCCAGAAGTCGGGAGCCAAGCTACAGTTGCACATGCTGCTCAATTCGTAAAGTGGCATGTTGGGGTGAAAACAGGGAAGGACAATCGCTCTTTAAAGGACCTGAGTTTGGTTCCCAGCATCCATATCAGGTGGCTCAAAACTGCCTTTAACTCCAGCTCCAGGAGATCCGGTGCCCTCTTCTGGCCTCTGCAGCAAATATACTCACATAATTCATGTATGTGCACGCGCACACCCACCCACCCACCACATTTACTTAGAAATAATAAAATAGATCTTTTGTTTTGTTTTCTGAGACAGGGTTTCTCTGTGTATCTTTGGCTGTCCTGGAACTCACTCTGTAGACCAGGCTGTCCTTGAACTCACAGAGATTTGTCTGCCTCTGCTTCCTGAGTGCTGGGATTAAAGGTGTGCACCACCACATCTAGTTTAATAAAAATAAATCTTTAAAAGTGAGATATTATTACATAAATGTATACAAATATATATAAATGTCATATATAAATTACCCCACCATGCACTCATTTCCCTGGCAAAACAGATCAGTGGAAGATGAACAGAAATGGGACCTAGTGTCCAAAAAAAAAGGGGGGGGGTTAGTTTTGACAAAGTGAAAACTCATCTGCATATGGTGATATAATCAGGCAGGGAAGAGAAACCTCAAAGTCCTGTTGAGCATCGAGAAAGACACACCCGGAAAAACACAGGTGCAGGCTGGGGGCGACAGCTCGGCTGCTAGAGATGCACGTGGCCAAGCTGACAATCTGAGTTTGACCCTGAGAATCCACGTGGTGGAGAACCAACTCCCACGAGTTAGCCTCCAACTCTCACCCGAGCGTCCCACTCATTCACACTGTACAAACGGAGGTGGCGAGAGACGGGTGTCCCGCGGGGTCTCTCAGTCTGGACTGGTTTATGGCAACATTAGGAACCCAGACCAGCTAGGTTTTTAGTAATATTGACTGTGTTTTTTTTAATTAAAAGTTTGGGGGGGCTGGAGCTATGGCGTGGTGGTTAAGAGCACTTACTGCTCTCGCAGATTTCGTTAGTTCAGGTCTCAGCACCCTCGTGGCTGCTCATAACTGTTCATAACTCCAGTTTCAGGGGATTTGACACCTCCTTCTGACCTCCATGGGCAACAGGCACACATGTGGTGCACATACATATATACATGTAGACAGAACATTCATACACATGAAAAGCAAAATTGTAAAAATTATTTTCTGAGCCTGGCAGCGGTGGGCACATGTCTTTAATCCCAGCACTTGGGAGGCAGAGCCAGGTAGATCTTTGAGTTTGAGGCCAGTCTGGTCTACAGCCAAGACTACACAGAGAAAGTGTCTCGAAACCCAAAATACATATAGATTTTTTTATCTGACTGCTAAAGAAAGGCAAAAATAAGCTACTGTTATCATTACATAAAGCTTGCCTTTCAAGCTTTCCCTATGTGTTATTATATAAAATTATATATAGTAATATCATATATGTATCATTTATATCATTCTGGATGCTCCTTGTAAATTTGCATTGTCCATAACGGCCCAGTCCTTTGTGTGACACTTTAGCACAGGTCCAACCCCTCATTCTAAGACTGCCTAAGGTCACAGTTTCTTATCATTTAGAGCTGTGACACCATTGATTACAAACTTTCTCCATCTAGGACCACGATGCCAAATCAATCCAGTGATATTTTTGTCAGCAAAGTGTGAAATTCCCAACGTCTGGGCTATTAGACAAAGTGAACAAAAAGCTTTCTGCACCTTCAGGCTATGAAACCAAAACGACCTTTGGTTTTCAGAGCTTGAAGAGTTCAGAATCCGACCCAACATGGTGACCCAGAGAAGGGAATACTCACGAGGCTGAGGGAACAAAAAGGGAGGTGAATTCCTAGAACCGAGAGGGATGCGGGCCTGGGGGTGGGTGGTGGGTCAGCTGTAGCTTCCGGAGTTGTGAGGAAATGCACAGGCTAAGAGGAAGTTCTTGGCAGCCCAGAAGAGCCCTGGCAGTGGGGCAAGGTGCAACTGCCACAGAGGCCCCCCAGCTCAAGTTCACATCTCAGCCTGCTCTCACCAGAAGCCATACATTCCTGGACAGGACCCCACAGAAGAGCCCCTGCGGAGCTCCCTGAGGAGGAAAGCCTGGCACTGCTGCCTGGTGATGCTGGCCCTGGGCAGCACAGTGAGCAGGCTCTTCCTGCTCAAGTGTGGTTTACTGTGGAGTGCTAGCAGATTCTCCCTCAGCCGGGGGAGGTGGAGGCAGAGGCCCAGAGAGAGCACATTGCCCTGTGGTGAACCAGGGGTGATTGACTAAAGCCCCTTTCAGCTGAAGTGCAGGGTGAATGGAAGGAACTGAGACTTCTGAGTGATGCAAGGCATGCTGGGAAATGTGGGTTTTAATTGGCAGTTGGGCAGTTTAGCCACAAGCGGGGAGCTGGGTGGGGTCGGTAGAGGAGAGGGGCCACTGGGGCGGAAACGGGGAAGCTTTTTTCTTTCTCACACCAACAAACCAGAGAAAGATGAACCCCAGAAACATTTACCAGCTTAGCTCTGAGCTCAGAAGCTAAATTCAGACCCCTCAACCACTTTTCCACTCCACACTTCACACAGTGTTTATAAAAGCATGCTGATCAGAGAGATACGATTCCCACTGCCGTCCTGAAGACGGGTGCTCAGATGCCTCTGCCTGCTCCCCGAGGCTCCCCACTCCACCCCACCCGTGCTCCAGATCCTCTCTCCTTCCCAAGCTCCCCTGTTGCTCTCCTGGCCATAGTCTTTTCTGTCAGCCCTTCCCATTGCTTCCTTGAGGATTCCACAAAGGCCTCCTCCCCATACTTGCCCCAAGTGTAGTGACTGTTTCAACTCTACTTGCATAAAACGTCCCCGAATTCTCCCAGAACTCAGATTTCTGACAACCGCAGTTGCCTAAATTCTAGCAGAGAATTCTCAAAACGAGATGCCTCGTGTTTGGGAGAAGCTGAGTGGTCCTTCCCACGTTCAGCTTCTCTAAAGCTGTGGTTCTCAATCTCTGGGTCTTGACCCCTTTGCGAGTTGCATGACTCACAGGAGTCACATATCAGATATCTTGCGTATCAGATATTTATATAACGATCCATAACAGTAGCAAAATACAGTTATGAAGTGGCAACGGAACAATTTTATGGTTCCACAGCATGAGAAACTGTGTTAAAGGGTCATAGCATTAGGAAGGCTGAGAATCACTGCCCTAGAGCCATAACGTCTATTTAGAATTGTGGGGACAAGGGTCAGTAGCAGAGAAAAAGGACAGGCAGAAATGTGATGATGTCGTCTTCTATCTGCTTTTATTATTTTTAATTGTGTACGGGGAGCGATTCTGTGCATTCGATTGCAATGCCTACAGAAGCTGGAAGCATTGGGTCCCAGCTTCCAGGAGGTTGTGGGCTGTTGGACACGGGTACTGGAGTCAGCGCTGACCTTCTGGAAGAATGGGACAGACTCTTTAACCATTGAGCAGTCTCTGCAGTCCATCAGCCTGCTTTCTCGTTCCTGATAGCATCACGTCCCAAAGTCAATTCTCCCCGAGGGCCTTTGCATCACGATGAACTTCAAGAGATACTCCTCAAAAGACAGTTCCTCAGAAAAGGCAAACAAAAAATTGGAAGACATCAACAAATCTCTTAAAGAAAACCAAGAAAAAGCAATCAAACATAGGAAAGAAACTATTCAAGACTTGAAAACTGAAATAGAGACAATAAAGAAAACACAAGTCAAGGGAATTATAGAAATAGAAATCACGAGAAAATGATCAGGAACCACAAATGCAAGCATAAACAGCAGAATACAAGAGATGGAAGAAAGAATCTTAAAAAAAAATAATAAAAGACAGTTCCTCTAGATACAACATCATCACCCACATAGGGAATTCCTCGCCTGGAGGTCTAGCTCGGTGATTGCCTACCATGTGCACCAGAACCAGACTTCAGTGTTCACAGACAATGGGAAGGAGGGAGGGACAGAGGGACAGAGGGACGGAGGGACGGAGGGAGGGAGGGAAGGAGGGAGGTAGGATGAGAGGGAGGGAGGGAGAGAAAGAGAGGAGAGC